TACTGACCTCTGTCATCATTTTAAGTGGGGGAACTTGCACAATCGGTGGCTGACTAAATACTTTTTTGCCCCACTGTATAACCACAGGCTGCAGGGCTCTTTGGTGGTTGATGAGAGAAGTGCTTTGATGTTTTTTCCCATATCAAAGATCTGGATACATTTGATAGTAATTAAGATCTAACAGCGGACCACAAAAACCAATTCTGAAAAAGTTGGGACACTGCAGGAAAAGTAAATAAGAACCAAATGAATCTCTTATAAAATAGTATTTCATCCCAAATGTTTAAACTGAGACATTTCAGTATTTCACTTTTAAACTCAGGTATTAAGACGATTTTGAAATGTTCAGATTTGATGTTACAGTCAGATTAGGGTTCAGCTACAAACATCAGTGTGTGTTTTACCCATAGCCAGTGCTGGCAGGACTTTGAGCAGAAGAGAATAGAGAGGACAGTCTTTCGAGGTCACCACTGCCACCACACCTGGAAGATAAAAAATAAGAAAAATTACGAAACATCACAATAAAAAGACTGAGAGCATTTTGTAAAGATAGCTGAATTCACTTACCCAGAGGTGTCCAGTCAGTGAGGAGTGTGTCTCTGAGCTGCGCCCAGCTGCTGTAGAACTGCAGCAGCCTGACCAGGGCGGCAGTGGCGCAGGAGGCCTCACAGAGCTCACACAACTCTGAGAGACACTGGCCGTGCTGCCCGAGGACACTCACCAACCTGTTAGAGGACAGAAATTCATCTTTATGTTAAACTGGTGGCTCAAAAACAAAGCAGCGAGGTGTGTGAAGGTGTGTTTGTTGGACCTGAGGAGCACTTTGGCCCTTTCGTTGCAGCTCAGGCTGCTCCAGGACTTGAAACCGTTAACAGCAGAGGAGGCACACTGGGAAATATCAGCTTCTTCAGCGCATGCTGTGCTGCATACAATACTTCCTGGAGAGCAGGCAGGCAAAACACTGAGACCATCATTATCATTATGATGTTTGTAAAAAGTCTGAAACACTGACTTGTAATGAAGAGGTTTTAACTTCTGTGTAACTGTGTGCTTGGGCTGCTCTCACCTTTAGAATCAGCCAGGGAGCAGCTCCGCCCGTCTGCTGAACAGACAAATTTACCGTCAATGAAGAGACCCAGAGAACGGGAACGATGCTCCAGCCAGGCCTGATGAAGAAGAGAGGGAACAGGGGAAGGATCAGCTCCAGAACAGAGAGACCAACACTCCCACACAGATTCAGTTTTGTTAAAAGGTTACTGCAGATTTATGAAAATCCTTGAATTAAAATTAAAAAGTCTTGCTTCCCTTTTATCAAACCGTGCCTGTATGAGTACAGAGGATGAGGATGCCGAACATCTCAGACAAGCTGTTATCTGGAGTCTTACAGGTAAAGGAGGCCCTTCTAATGTTTTTGCAAATCTAAGCATTTGCATATAAGAGATGTGCATTATTTTGAAAATAAGAAAAGAAAACTACAGTCTATCGCGCTCTCAACATTTCAAATCCACAACATGTTAACATCGTCATTAGCACACTCGTGAAATTATGGCCTGCAGATGAGCACCCAAAACCAAAAAACCCTTTTTACTGGTTAAGAGACCAATATACATGGCAGTGACTGATAAAGGCGGGTATGCAAAGTGAAGAGTGTCAGCTATTTACAGACTGAAGACCAAAGTGCAGAGCTCAACTCTCTGCAAAGCACCAACGGCATTTTTTTAGCAGTGTGTATTAACTGAGCCGTGGTGCTGGTACTATGGTCTCTCATGCGCTACGTGATGTGGGCTGTCAAACGACAGCATGCTAGTGGTTTGAGTGCTTCTCCACTAATTTAGCGCTCTTTGTAAACCTTCAATGTCCTGACAGCCACAAAAACCGTTACACAGCTGTTTTTACACAGCTGTTTGCAGATTAGCAATCATAGACTGTACACAGAAGATGGGAGTAGCCAGCTGATTTTACTTAGTTTTAGCAGGCCTGGCACCATGAACGAGGGGTAAACCTTTATTGAGAGATCCCATCTTCTACATTTGGTATTTGGCAGAAGCTCCTGTTAAACTCTTTTCAAGTTCAGGTAAAAAGAGGAAACCCCTACAATGTTTTTCACGGACTACGGTGGGATACGGACATAAAAAACATCGGTGGCTGACTACATGAACAGTAATCCCTCGACACATTATAATGTAATTATGTGTCTAGTTATGTCACATGTTTGTCTTGTGAGGTACACTGGGCTAACGGTTAAGCAACTTCACGAGTCCAATAACTTATATAGAGGTATCCGCTAACTCCGCAGCACAGCGTGCTGTGAGTAAGTTTAGTTTTAAAGCAGTCTCCGAATATGAATCTGAACGTAACCTGTACCTGTGCAGTAGCAGTGCTAGAAGTTGCTGCTGGCCCGTACTCCATGCTTTGGAAAATCTCGTACACTGTCTTGGTGCTGCTAACAGCCATAATAAGAAGAAACCACCGTGGGAGCAAATCTCGCCGTCGCTGTGCGTGGTCGTTCTTGGATGGAGTTAGGAAGAATACGAAGAGAGAAAGCTGGCAGAAGGGGAACTCGAGCGTCACTCCGACTCTGAAAGAAACGTGCTAGCTTCCCTGAGCTGCCAGAAACGCGCAGGTCGATACGTGAGAGCGAGAGGATTCACTCCTCCCGACTTCCGCTATTGTGTGCGCTAAGTTCACGAGAACGCAGATAGACCGTACTAGGATGTATGGACACTGAGAAAATGAAAATAACCGTTTTTAACTTCGTAAAGCACAATCAATCCAGTTTTTAGTTTTAGTTTTTTCAAACTCGTACAAATTATTGTAATAAAACGTGTGACATAATTTCAAAATAAAGCCTAATTTCCGGTGTTTGTGCCAAAAAATGATTTTTGGTATTTGCCAAAACTGATATATAACTTGTTGGTCTATAATATGTGAAACATATGTCAAATGTATCCGCCATGACTGATATCAAGTCATCTTGAGCCACAAACAACATTATTGTAACAAGGCAGAAGCTGCAATCAGTTTTTGGCAGTGACTTTTATATATACTTTATTTATCCAGTTAAGAAAATCTTGTTGGCATTAAAAATGTTTTTTAAGGTTAATCTGCCCAAGAGGACAGCAAATATTACAAACAATATCACAATAGTTCTGTAAACATATTTTAAGTGGACAAAAAGGACCGGATTGGTTACAATATCAAAGCGTTATAAAGATACTTGAAAAACATGTAAATTTTAAAGTTTAGATTTAACCCCTGTGTAAACCCTGTTCACCGAAGTCTATTTACCAACGTACGTAAAGTTTAAAACACACACACGCACACACGGAAACATTCGGTCACGTGTCCAGTCTGTCATGTAGCTAAATAAAATAATAATAATTTAATTTTAAAACAAAAAGTGATTTTGAATGATTAAAAAATGAAAATCAATGATAATAAATGAGGGGCAATTCGCTTTAAAAATGACTCATAACATCTTAGGAGGTTATGGTGTTAAATTTTAAACTTAAATCACTTTTTTTAAGTACATGTGTAATTGTGTTGTCTGCCGTTTTGAAGACTTCCTCCAGTTAAAAGATTCATAGCAACAATACAAATTTGGTTTAAAGACGCAACGTGTTTTGGTGCGTTTAGTGGTCCACGTCTATAAGAACGTTATTAGTTGTGACTAGCGCAGCCATTACTTTAAACGGATAATTGTTTTACATTTATTTATTTATTGCTTTTATTATGACTATTACTTTTTACGATGCTGTACAGTTTAAAGCAATCCCAAATACCCAATTGAGCGCATTCAAATATGGCTGCAAAAATCTTAATGCACCATAGGAACGTGATTTGACGGTGTATGTTTCTCCCCGGAGTCATTTTGTCACTGTACCGCCCAAAAAGAGCGAGTTTGCGCTGTCCTCACTAGGAAGTGCGGAGAATTTTATGCGCTTTTTTTCAGCTGGGTTGGCTCATGTCAGCTGGTGGTTATTTTTTCGTTGTTACAGTTTCAAAAGGCTGCCATAAATTGCCACAGCACGGGATAATAATCCGCCAGAGGCGTTACGGCAGATCTTTGAAAAAATGCCCCGGAGAAAGGTGAGGCAGACTCAACCGTTAATGCAGATAAACAACAACATAACGTCATAGCTAATGTTAGCCGACATAGAGGTAAAAGCAAACAAACTGTGTGGGAAACAAACTTAAGGGGGCTGCAAGCTAAAAAACGTTCCTACAAGACAAAGTGAACGGCTTGTAGCATTCATAGAATATCAGTGCTTATAGAATCGCATAAGTGAGCTGTCGATCTGCGGTTGCTATATGGCTAAGCTAGCTCAGGCTCATATTGCTGAGTTGCAAGAATATGTTGTTGTTTTTGAACCGTCGCTTCTTTCTAGTACCCAAATAAGAGTTTTAAACATGCTGGTAACTTTGTTCAAATTTGTAACAGCTGCTTAGTACAGTGGGAATCCCGAGCACACTTTAACGTAGGTAACAGCAGCAGCTTTAGCTTACTGATGAAAAAGCAATAGGCAGTTCTTGGGGTGCGAGGAGGAACGGGCGCCCGCACCAAAACAACAGCTGTGATTGGACGGACGCCTGACAAGCGTCGCGTTCATTGGTTCGCATTCTCTAACGCCCGCCTCCTTTTTAATTTAATTGGTCGTATGTAAATTGTGCGCGCAGCATCTTGTTATGAAGTTGTCAAACATAGTTTGCGGTAATAGCCCGTGCTGTACTGATGTTGTGTTTGATCTTTGGGTTTCTTTTTGGCTGTGTGGATTTTAAAAAGTAACTTACATTGTTATAAATTTACATTAATATTAAAAGACAATTAGTTAGCCTAATAACATTTTATTACTATTATTTTATTGCTGTTACGCTAACGTCCATAAAGCAGGATAACCACATTGGCCTGGATCTACCTCTCCATTTTTATCAAAGTCTGTAACTGTTCATTTGTTTTCATAAATAGTTAGCAAAACAATGAGAAAAGAATGGGAAGTGAATGTAACAAAGTAGTCACTGTTTCTACATTTCATTTAACATAAGTAAGGACAGATTAGAAAAGTAACTAAATAAATACTGTGACAATAATAATGTTTGTAATGAATTAAACAGAGAAATGTGCACATTGTTTGATCCTGTGCACATTGTTTGATCCTGTTTTCATACTTTCTGTGTTTGTTTTGTTTTTTAGGCTAGACCGAGATGACAGGGATCAGTTTGTGCAGTGATTGACAGCCCTCACTGCTTAATTAGTCTAGTGTGAATCGTCAGAATAAAACAACATTACATTCATTATGCTTATTGGCTAACATGGAAGTGTGCTGATTTGAACAAATTATCCTGAATCGTTAGGTGCTGGACTTCTAAACAAACCCAGTTGTTATAGGTTGTGCTTGGTACAATAGATTAGCTGTCCGGACCTCCCGTGGTGATACTGGTATTAGGCTTATCTGAAGTATTTACAAGTCCTTGGTGGGAAGAGGGGGTGAAGTGCCGGAGGAGATTTGAAGGGGGTGACGCTCCTCCCCCCAGAATGGGATCTTTGTTGGATTATCCTCTGGTAAAGAGGGAAAAAAGTAACTTTGTCACACGCGGTTGTGTTGGTCGTCCATAGTTGTTGCTTCTAACTTCTAACTGCTGCTTTCCCAGAGGACCGCTGGCAGCAGCTCGGACGGGACGGAGGACTCGGACTTCTCCGCTGATGTCGAGCATGCTGAAGCTGCTGAGATTGTGCACAGACGCAGCAGCACACGCCTGACTCGCGCGTCTCTGCGACTCAGCCGAAGTTCACAAGGTAAACATTCACATTTGGACAGAAATACAAATTAGAAGAGAGATCACTTCAGTCAAATTTTGAGCCAAAGGTTTGCACAAAGAAACTGACCAAAATAAAAATAGCATGAAATGGAAAAAACATAACTTGTTGACATAAAGGTGTACATCTATCCTTTTCACATTGTTTAGGTTACTGTGTAGCTTTTGGGTGTTCTGGAAGCATAAGAATCCAAGCATGCCTACATGCTGTGTAATTCTGTCTCTATAAGTAATATAAATTAAAGATGCATTCATTCAGAGTCCAGCCTCCTCACTACACTGGTTTAGACATAGCTATTGTATATGGGCAGCCATAGAGGATGAATGGCTTTAGACAGACTGATCTCCCTCATCTCTCACACACACACACACACACACACACACGCACACGCACATGCACACTCCCACCCCCGGGTGACCTCGTTTTGCTCTGGCTATCAGAGGAGATTTAAAACAGAGACTGACACTGTTTCCTCTGCTTTTTGTCAAGGAGAGTTGGCTACTCCTTCCTTGTCGTCGTCTCCCCCCCCCCCAACCCACACACACACACACACACACACACACACACACGGACAGAAACAGCAAAGAGGCTATTTATCTGCAAAAACAAAGTGGATTCAAAGGTTCACTGCTTCTGTTTTGTGATGGGATTAGTCTCTTCATAGCCACTGAGGCCGTTTGCATCTTTTCTTTTCTTTTAACTTTTTCGTTTGGATTCAGTTACTGACAAACTACTTGCACAGTTAACGAAATCGGGCATTTCAGTCAAGTTCCTTCTTGGAAGAGGAGCAGAGTCCACTCAGGGCTCCAACAGCAGCAGATTTCATATGCTGATAATTTTTTCATGGTTTGGCAGAACCTTTCATTTTAATGCTTGAAAAGTACATTATAAAGTAACTGGTGATTACTCTTCTGTTGATTAATGAGTTGGTTGAGTAATCCCCTGAAAGGCCTCTTAAGTTATTTTACTGCAGTAAATAAAACACGTTTGACTGACTTCCCCTCTCTTCTGTAGATAACTGCAGCTCTCCTGTAACTGTGGGTTCTGATGAAGCTCTGGACTCAGCCGTAGAGTCAGTGCCGACAGCTGTTGCAGCATCAGTCTTCTCCTCTGGGCGCAGGGTCACACGCAGCCAGCAGGGGGCGGCAAACACCACAGCCAAAAAATACCCACTACGGCAGAGCAGGTCGTCCGGCTCTGACACAGAGGCTCACGGTAAGATTGGTACAGTACTAGAATTCAGAACTGTCAAATGCTCTAAACATGCTTTAAACATTTTTTCTTATTAAAAGTTCAGCTTGGTCATTGCCAAGCTCCACTTTAGTTAGAGGATGAATTTGCAGTGAGGTAAAAACGGGAAGGAGGGGTTCAGGGAGAGAAAGAAACAGGACAGGTGGAGAACGAGAGTGTTAGAAAAGCAAGAGGGCAAAAGAAAAGAAAGAAGAACATGAATGTGCAGCGGAGTCCATCTGACATCGTGATGCCATTCAGCTGATGTCACGAGGCTTGTCTGTGATCACGGTGTGTTCCTGCTATCAGTAGATATCCTGGGCTTGTGTTTTGTCACTGAGATGAATGAATTACTTCATAGACACCAGGAACTGTTATCTAACTTCAGCGGATGCAGGATATGATCATCTGCAGGTTCAGGTTACTTTATTGTACCTGTAGAAAGGTTTGGTTTGCAGAAGGTTATTAGGCTGTTCGTTTTAGCTTCATTTATCAATTGTTATATACTGCACATTCAAACGTGCAAATCAGTGGTGGTGGAGCAGAAAATGTTCTTAAAATGGATGATTTAGTGACCCAGGTCTTAAAAATGAAAAAATATGGACATATTTAACTCGTTTTTTTTCTGTGTTATAATCAGAGCACCATCTAGAAACTCCAGCACGTTGTTCTACTGGTACAATTTGTTGTATTTGCTCAATCCAACATGAAAGTTGAATGAAATCAGGGAGTTTTATGTTAAAACGTATCCCACATGCTTTATCTTACAGTATTGTGTAACTGAGCTACATAGAAAACTGAACTATACAGAAATCATCACAAATTGTTTTTTGCAACTTGAAGTTTTTATTAATATTTGCTCAAATATGGGACATTGCAGGAGGGCTGGACATTTTTTGTATCTGTTTGAAATGACAAATTCTGATTCACTGTGATGAAGAAAAACCAGTGAAGCATAAAAAATTAAAAGCTATTTGATATATAAGCTTAAATTTTGATTGTATAATGCTATGATTGTAAATTATAACACATAATTTCCTTAGGGATTAATAAAGTATGCTGAAATTAGGGCTGGGTGATATGGCCTAAAATCCATATCGCCGTATAATTTGAAGCCTGTGCTTTAACTATATATATCGTGATGCATTCGTTTCTTCTGTATATTGTATTTTCCGGTGCACTTAAAAGGCTTTAATTTTCTCCAAAAATCGACAGTGCGCCTCATATATGAATTCTGATTGTGCTTACTGACCATGAACTGATTTCATGTGCTACACGGCGCTCAAACATCTGTCAAAAATGTTTTAGTACGACTTTGGTAAGGTACGAAGCCGCAACACTTGATGGATTGTCGGAGAATTACAGCTACCGTAGTCTGGAGCCTCGTGGAGTAATCTATTCAGTTCAATTCAATTTTATTTATATAGCGCCAAATCACAACAAAAGTCGCCTCAAGGCGCTTCATACATACAGAGAAAAGCTCAACAATCATATGACCCCCTATGAGCAGCACTTTGGCGACAGTGGGAAGGAAAAACTCCCTTTTAACAGGAAGAAACCTCCGGCAGAACCAGGCTCAGGGAGGGGCGGCCATCTGCTGTGACCGGTTGTCTGGGTCCTAAACTCCGTCTGTTCATGTCCCACAAACAAACTCTGCGTTATCACTGAGAGTAAAAAACTGTCTAAATTCTTTCATCTTTAATAAAATGATCAGCGTTGCTGCTTTACCAGGTGTAACAATTAAGTTTAACATCCAGGCATCCATGAAAACAGAATCGTGGCTCAAGAGTTGGGAGTTCGCCTTGTAATCAGAAGGTTGCCGGTTCGAGCCCCGGCTTGGACAGTCTCGGTCGTTGTGTCCTTGGGCAAGACACTTCACCCGTTGCCTACTGGTGGTGGTCAGAGGGCCCGGTGGCGCCAGTGTCCGGCAGCCTCGCCTCTGTCAGTGCGCCCCAGGGTGGCTGTGGCTACAATGTAGCTGCCATCACCAGTTTGTGAATGTGTGTGTGAGTGGGTGGATGACTGGATATGTAAAGCGCTTTGGGACTAGTAAAAGTGCTATACAAATACAGGCCATTTACCATTTACTGTAGTGACTGTGTGTTAAGTTCTGAGTGTTTCCAACATGTAGCTAGCATATCATTTAACCCTTTGCCTAAGCACCGTCTCGCCGTCTCACTGGACAGAAATCACTTGAGCTGCTGCTGGTGCTTTGATGCTACTTCTACTGCGTCCGCTCTGTAGACACAGAGTTGGACTGACATGTTGGCTCGCCCTACATGAGTGAAAAACAGAAAAAGAAAAGTGTTGATGTGCCTGCTTCAATTGAGCCGCTGGGGTCTGTGAGCTCAGACACTGGTGCACTAATATGTTCCTTGATATTAGATTTTTCTTCGTCGTCGCAGGGTGTTAGCTAGCTGTGTATGTGGTGACAAAAGTTAACAGAGGCCTCCCATGAGATATAAGACAGTTGAAAGTTGGTGGCACGCAAAAATGATGGGACTTTTGTAAGAATGTCTGTTTGACATTTGACATGTCTTCGTTGTCACATTTGATTCAGTAGACATCAAACAAGGGGCGGATCGTGACGAGACCCCTCCTCGCACACCAACAGGCAACGCCCCGTCATCAGAGTCGGACATTGAAGTTTCCAGCCCGAGCAATGACCTCGTGTCTTCTAGCAACGACATTGTAGTTTCACAAGAGGAAGACGAGAGGTTAGCCAAAGAGCTGTCGCTCAAAGAGGCCGCCGCCCACGACCTTTCCCACCGGCCCAAACGACGGCGTTTCCACGAGAGCTACAACTTCAACATGAAGTGTCCCACACCTGGCTGCAACTCGCTGGGTGAGTGACAGACTGGCACATACTTCACAGCATCGCTTCCTCTTCAGAGCATCTCCTCATCCTCTTCCCATTCCACCCCTTCCACTTCTTCCTTCGGTCTCTCTCAGGTCATCTCACAGGGAGGCACGAGAGACATTTCTCCATATCAGGATGCCCTCTCTACCACAACCTTTCTGCCGATGAATGCAAGGTACACGCACACACAAACACAAATAAACATGACGATACATCAACGGGGAATTCAGGATAAGAAGTGAGTGTGAAACTATGATGCTACGTGCTGTGATGTCCCTGCTGCGGGGTCAGTTGTGAGATTTTGGTGGCAGACGGTGTTGATGTTTTGTCAGGGCAAGGCATCGACGCGCGACAAACAGGCCGAGGAAAGGACGCTGTCGCACCGTCAGGACGAGAACAGACACTCCACGAGAAACCAGGTAACGCGTGGACGGCACGCACGCAAGTAAACAAATAAAACGTAAACAAGTCCACCAGTTCGTGCACATGCTTCTGTTAAGTAATTCCCTTTGTCAGCTGAACTCAGCCTAAGAATTTAGATGCAGTGGATTGTTACACAATGCTGTCTGTGTGTATGGGAGGGAATCCCCCCTCACCCACCCACAAGTCAGCACAACATCACTCTTAAAGCAGCAACACCTCCCATCATGCTGCGATTTGTCAGAATAGCAGGGTCAGAGGCAAAGTGATGAAGAGCTGCTGCTGGTAACTGCTAGGACCCCTCGCTGCCTGACTGTATCTGTAAGAGTAGCAGCAATGTGACGGCTTGTTTATTCTCTGCACTGGCTTCCCTCTGATCCTGAGTAAACCCAGGTCACATGCACTAACGAATGATTACGCTTACACTTGGTTACCTCCTCTCTGTGGACGCACGGAAGGCCAAATGACATTTCCCTGGTTATGTTTATGACCGCTGCATTAATAAAGACACTTGGTTAAGGATTTATACTTTAAGCACATACGTTTGTTTTACCTTCCTGGTTATTTGTATTTGTCTCTGCTCTGTGAAAACTGTTTGGTTTCTGGAACACATTTGTAAAATTATCATTTTAGATAATTATAATATAATTATTGATTGTGCTTGGATGATATGTGAAGTGTTGAATGATCATTTATATTGAGGAGCTGTTTCTGAAGTTAGTTACTACACATCAGATTAATTACACTTATTTAATGTAATGAATGACTTATAATCATTTATCTGGTACTTTAGACTGAACTTGAGATATGACCCAATGAATGGGTTTTTAAAGGGCTAAACTACTGTTTGCATATTAGATCACATGGTTAACAATATGTCGTTATTTCTCCTGGCTGAAGGCTGATCAGCCAAACGCGGTTACATGCAGCCAGCATAATGCCAGGTCGGTTATACATCCTGTGGGACGTCAGTGCAGATGAGAAAAAAAAGAGATTTTTAGAAAGTTTTGTGTTCAGAAAGCGATAAAGTGTCCATTTTGGGGTCTTATTATGTTATTTAAATCCTTTTATTATATTCATGGAGTCTACTAGTGGAACTGTGCGTGATTAACATTTCCAAATAGCACTTATTTGTCTCACGCTGCACCTTGGTGCAGCCACTTAGTTCATTATCTGAAAGAAGCAGTTAAGCTTCTCGCCCTTTAAAGTTACAGTGTGTAAAATCTCACCAGCAGATGTCAGGAGGTTGCAGATTGCAGTCAACTGAATTCTGTTTTCTTACGCCTCCCAGTTTTAGTATATAGTTCTAGCTACGGTGGTCTCTGCAGGACAAAGACCTGCCCACTGTTCATTTTACTCCACATGTTAAGTGCTGTTTGCTTCACGAGTCAGTGTGCCGGGTGTCCATGGCTGTAAACCTTATGAAAGCAAGTCGATGAGCTGGTGGTGTTGATATCCTAAACATTTTTGTCAGTAAGCACTGTTGTTTTTGCCTCTGTTAGCTGCTGTTAGCTCATTTTAGTCTGTGGAAATAACATTTTATTATCTCGTTATTATGTCAGTGAATAAACTCTCATACCATAATCAAACTGTTTATCGGAGGGAAAGTGTGATTATGTTTTTGGCTGCATTCAAAAGGGTGGGCCAACATGGTGGTTGACCATGAACACGACCACTGCTCCTGCGTATTTTTAAGGGATTCATTTTAAGTTCATGAGAAAGCATCAGTTTGTCAGAAGACATAATTACATGTTTATTTATGAGGACAATATTCTTTTTTATATCGATGACTTCTGAGCTTTTGACTCATAGACATTCTGTGAGTTTATTATTTCAAAGTTGGGGCATGTTTATTATGAGCATCACCTTTGTGTGAGTGTATATATAAGTGTGTTTTGTGTCCTCTCAGGCCCCTACAGAGCGTCAGCTGCGCTACAAAGAGAAGGTGACAGAGCTGAGGAGGAAGAGGAACACTGGCCTCAATAAGGAGCAGAAGGAAAAGTACATGGTAAGTGGATTAGATAAGAGTCAGTGTGTGTAATATATCACATATCATTTGATTGTACCGTCTTCTCTGGTCCCCGCTCACCACCAGGAGCACCGTCAGAGCCATGGAACGAGCCGCGAGCCTCTGCTGGAGAACATCACCAGTGACTATGACCTCGAGCTGTTCAGGAAAGCGCAGGCACGTGCCTCGGACGACCTTGTAAGAGAGAAAACTCATCTTCATCTCCCCCCTTGCACTTTGTCTTCTTCCCTTTATTTTTGGCCTTATCGCTCTTCTTCTCTGTTGCAGTCTGCAGACCCTCCCCTGCAGCTGCAGGAGGCGTCTGAGATATTTTTGGTAGTTTGGGAAATCACTTCCTGTCATTCCGTGTTGGGTTTTTCCCCTTCTGTTCTGTCACTTTGTGGCCCATTCAAGCATCGTTATTCTCAAACAGACATACTTGAACTATCACATAGGATTTTGGAAGTATTTTGGTCTTTTAACTGCGTTGCTCTGGCGATACATTTCTTTACAGAGGTAAATGAATGACTAGCTTTTCAATTTCAAAACAAAGTCATCTTGAAAGCATCTAAGTTAGAATTGACATCACATATGCGTGTTTTTACTCTTTGCTTGCAACTTTAACAGTTATCTGATCATTTTTCTTGCTGACTATGTTTTTTATATTATATTAACAGTAGCTTGTTTGTTGATTCACTTCCTCATGAACAACATTTACACTCAAGTATTTTCCAAAGAATTTGCTTCATACCTTTTTTATTCGAATTCTTTTCTTTTTAGTTCTTCCTTTAAATTTTCTTCTTGCATCGTTTTCTTTTGTTTTTCCTCCACTGAGGTTTCCCTGAGCGTGACCTTTGATTCGCCCGATCCTCTTCGACAAATAATTGAGATTTGTTTTTCTCTCTTTCTCTGCACGCCTGCCCTGTCTTCTTGTCCTCTCTGTACCTTGTCTTCCTGTCCCTTCCTGTCCTGGTTGTGCAGGAGAAGCTCCGTCTGGCTGGCCAGGTGTCGGAGGGCAGCAACATGATAAAGACCATTGTGTTTGGACGTTACGAGCTGGACACCTGGTACCACTCTCCATACCCAGAGGAGTACGCCCGCCTGGGGAGGCTTTACATGTGCGAGTTCTGCCTCAAGTACATGAAGAGTCAGACCATTCTACGCAGGCACATGGTGAGGCTCACCACTATCATCATTATCATCATTGTTATTATTATTATCATCATTACATTAAGATAAGATAGATCGCAGCTGACTCTTACCAGATTAGCATTGTTGGAGTCGCCTACAGTAGCTTGATAACTTCTCCCCCAACTCTCCACTGATTGGCTATCACTCACAAACACAAGGTTTCAACAGCAGGTGGGTGGGGCTTCTGTGCTGAAAGGCAGAACAGCATGACTGAGATGGACCATGTTAGGACTGCGCATTCAACACTGTGCTAGTGTTTGAAGCAGGCTGAGCTGTTGGCTCAGGGATGTGTGGCTCATACACTGACTTTGTTATCACAAACATTGGCTCATTTTTTAAAAACTGGTTTTAAGCAGTAATTCTCCGGGCTTTCAGAATATTGTTCAGTCTTTGCTTTTTCATTGCTTTTCAGTCCAGGTCTTCATTTCTCAGCCAACAGCTTTAGATGTTCTTAAACACACTGCCAAAGCAGTAAAAACATACCTGATCACTCGTGGGCTGGTCCTGTCCAGAGGCTGGACTTCAGTGTTGCTGAAGCAAGAGAACAGAACAAAAGGCAGCCGACATCTAAAGAGGACTTTTGCATGTCCTTTAAGAGGCCTGGAGAACTATTGCTGAAGACTACGTGAAGAAAAGTCGAGTAATAAAATGCCAAGTTTGTAAAAACTGCACAAACTCTGATTTTGTCTTGCACACTGTACACGTGTATGTTGGCAGATACTGCTTTAAATTCCTGCACCCATTTCCAATTTTCCTGCAAATTACAAAGACATGAGGTGGTCTGAGATTTGGCACGGTGCTGTAGGTCCCGCTGTTTTTGTGCACTGCAGTTTGGCTTCTCCTGTCATACCTAAAGTTGTTTTTATGCTTTAATTCTGTAATCAGTAAACGGGGAAAATATGCAAATGATTCCTCAAAGTGTTGAGCTTCAGTTTATCTCAGTCAAAGTATCTGATTGATTAGAAAGTGTAAGGTGCCAGTCAGTGACACAGAGGTATCAAAGTGAGCCTGGGCTATTGTCTTAGACTGTCTCAGTGCCTCAGGTGCTCTATAATATTATTCCTACACCGTTTAGATAAAGTGTGTAACTTTGGCCTTTCTGAGACGTTCAGACTTTTTCTGTATTTAAGTGACAAGGCTGACGAGAACATTTTTCCAAACTGGGTGCTTGGCTGAAGTCGGGTGTTTGGAGCCTGACTGTCAGACAGATGAACTGCACAGCCACAGCACGGGCAGTGTTAGTGATTAAATATTAAAGCCTGAATATGGGGGGGGG